TTAAACCGCTTTTTTCTCTGAACCAGGTTTTACTTATTTAGAATCCATTGAACTTATCAACAGGAACCAAAAGGCATTTTACACCTAAAATGTTTTTCAATGGTCGGTAAGAATGTTAATTGTTATTTAAAAAAATGGAAAAAAATTACAAAGTTCGCCATTTTTATTTTTTGCGAAAATGCTTCATTGTAGTTCCAGCCAAAGCTAATATGATACAGAATAAGAGACCATTTATGTTTTCAGATAAAATAAAATAAAAAAAAATTAATAATATATAAAAAAAATCAATATAATAAAATTACCTGAAATAAAATCAAAAAATAAAATATAATAAAATAAAATAAATTAAAAAAAATATATCAGAGCAAATTAAAATGAAATTAATTAAGGCATTATATATAAAAATAAAATATTTTAAATTAAACTACGATAAATCAAATTAAATTAAAGAAAAGAGACGTGTTTTTGATTATAGATATAAACCCCGTTCTCTTAGTTTCAATAGCTTAAGGCTATAACTCTAAAAAAAAATTACGCTACTAGTTCTTTAGATATTTGCGAGCTTGAAATTTCTAAGGTCACTTACTCTCATTGCTTTCTTTTATTCATTTCGCCCCAAGTGAAGTAAACGTACACATTTGGCCCTTTCAATTCTGCGTGCAATAAAATTTCCAACAAATAAATTATGTATTTGCATTTCTTTTCAATTTCTCTTCTACAACCTCTAACGCTAGTCAAGTGTAAGCCAACTGGTAGGGACTGCCTGTGTGATGCTTGGGTGTAGCATTTATTAAGAATGCAGAAATTTTTTTTTTTTAACTTTTTTAATTTGCTAGAAAGAAAAGATTGTAGAATTGTATTTATTTTTGAAAAAAATTACAGGAATTTTCTGTGTTTCCTTAAATTTAATATAAACATTTTCCATTTGCTTATTAAGTTTGCTTGCTTACTTGCTTTTAGTTGACTTTCCTACTTACGTGAAGTGGGGTCATCGCAAGCACTGTTGAAATATAAATATTTACAAATATTCGTCATAAAATTCGATTTCGAATCGTTTCTTTGCTATCATATTCTATGAATCCACAATCATAAACTGCTGCAGCACTTATCTATTTATAAATTTGTATACAAATATGACAGTTGCTTAGATGGATTACTGGGTCGGGTTGTATACCAATATTTTTTACTTAATTAACAGATTTCGACTTCAGATGCTTACAACACGTTGTGATTCGAAGAAGTTATTAGTTGTACATACCTATATTTTTTTATCAGTAAAACTTAAAAAAATATATTTTGTTCATGCTTTGTGATTTAAAAGCCTTGAACATATTTCATAGTCTCAAAACAACAGTCTTTTAAAAATACTGTTTGCTTCTTTTGAGGTTTTCAAATACAATAAAAATTATTTTTCCATTATTTTTTGAAACTGCCTTTAGTTAGTTTCTCCACCAACTACTCTTGGAATGTAAAATATCTAACAATTAGAAAAACAGACACCCTTTGATGGATGAATGATTTTTTTAATAAGAATCAAAAGAAAGTACGCGTCTCGTCTGCATAGCTCTGCCTGTAGCTGCTGTTGCTGGAGATGCAGTGAAAAGAGATATTGCGCTCTTTGTATTAAGTATTTCAAATATGAAAATCTTTAAATAAGATATCGAATATGCCATCGATATGAATGAGAAGATTGGAGCAATTGACAAGACAAAAAAATTTGCAAAATCTGGATAATTATTATTTTCACAGTCTTAGCTAAGGATGCAATTTTCTTTCCCAATTTTTTTTGTAACTTCATTGGGCCAACCTCGACATGACTTTTTCCCTCTTTGCATTGTTTCTCATAATTATATGTATGAGTGCGTAGATACGTAAATTAGCATTGAAAATTTTATTACAAGAATCTAGTACCCCCACAAATGCAAAAGACGACCGAAAAGGGGGGGGGGGGGGGGGAAAACTCACTGAGATAGAAGCAACAGACAGATATGATGAATAAATATTTTAACATACACATGGAAGCGTAGATATACACGTTTTGACAAATAACTATATAGCTTTATGTATACATTAGCTGTGCATGTGCAAGTAACGCCAACGCAGCGGGTCATGCGTTTAACAATCCGGAAGTTGGCTAGACAAATCCAGGCTGTTACAGCATGCCCTGAAAGGAAGCTTCCAACTAAAAAGTAAAGAATTAAAAAAAAATTAAATATTATCAAATGAGGCTTCTATTTAAATATAACTAAATATGTATACATATGTACACTTTTATCGTATACACTTGCCCATTAAAAATACAATAATTTTTCTGATATCAAGCACAGTTTCAGCCCTGTATAATTTCCTCTTGGCCTTTGATATCTCCATGTCTTCCTATAAATGCCAAATACGCCGAATAAATATTTGAAATTATAACCAACATTAAAGCTGCAACGCTTGCGATTTTTGTGGCATATAAAAAATGCCACAAAATGAATATTGTTGCACCCGCAGACATAAGTTTAGGAGAAATTAATATATTTTTGTGGGATTTTATTATGAAATTTGCTGACAAACGAGAAATCGACAAACAAGCTGGAAAACCTTATATTGATATAATAAAATATGATTTATTATACTCGTTTACTTTCGTCATACATAAGAATCACATGTATGCCTATAAAAGTCTAGGATGCTAGCATACAGACCATCCCTTTTAATAGTTAAAAATAAAAATAAAGTCAAATAAAAAAATGAATGAAACAAAATAAAAATACGTCAAATAAAAAAGTAAAATAAAATAAAATAAAATAACTTAAAATAAAATAAAATAAAATAAAATAAAATAAAATAAAATAAAATAAAATAAAATAAAATAAAATAAAATAAAAGAAAATAAAATAAAATTAAAACAAAACAAAAAGAAATAGAATAACATAAAATAATATAAAAAAATAATATACACAAAAACTAAATAAAAAAATAATTACATTCACTTATTTAAATTTAGTTTTTTCGAGCTTTGTATCAACCAATTTGGAAAATGTAAACGTAAGCCACCATTAAAAGTATTATAAACATTTGAATCTCTACTATGCATATTCAGCATACATACATATAGACTTCTTAATTATAACACATATTAAAACTGCATATGTTTACATAACGAAAATGAGAAACTTTTCGCCAAAACATTAAATTGAAGCAACCAACCAACCAACCAACCAGCAAACTAACTCAACGAAACTAAGTTCAGTTAGATTTACTTTACCTAAAAATATTTGAATTTTCTTTTTTCTCCATTTGCTTTTCCATGATACTCATATTTAGCTACCAAAATCGTTGGTATTCCCCTTTTTTTCCTTTCACTGCTGACTGTTACTCAACTCAACTGGCGTACGCTTGCCAATTCGGGTCAAGGCTTAAAACTAGAGCTTCAACTGAAAGCAGGGTACGGCTGTTCAACTCGTACCAGTGTGCTGAGTTCGTGGTAGTTGTTTCAATCTCTAGCGAGCTAAGTTGCTGCGGATGTGGATATGTAATTTTTAGGTTGTTTTAGAATATATAAAATATGGCATGTGTATATTCCTAAGCAAATACATACACAGCTAGGCCATACTTTGTTAGCTACTGCATACTCATAGCTCAGTTTAGCCATTAGAGTTTCAATATTTTGCATCACCTTCGTGCTGAAAACTTTTTGATGTGCAACAATGCGAAATATTCGGATATGGAATAAGAATTGGTTGAGTAAATTACATTGCCATTGAAAGGACACGTACATGTTTACACACACATGCATCATATACAGTATATATTGGATATATTTGTTACGCTCAAGTTTCCTTTTGTTTTTTTTTTGGTTTGTGTTGTGCAAGTAAATTTCAAAATTTTATTGAAAAATGAAAGGAAAGTTAAATAGAAATATGATTTTAATGCTTGCTGATCTTCTTGATTCTTTTTTTTTTGGTTAATAACTAGTTCATCTCTATCAGACAGTAGAAAAAGCATTACAAAATTGAATAAATGAAACCATAATTAAGCAATAAAAAAAGAAATCCATAAATAAGAAAACAAATAAATATAATATATGTGTAGCCTATGACTGTCATTACAGTACAGAGAAATAGCGGAATGGAGAGGAAAAAATGATGGAGAGAAAAACACGATCTTTCATCTTTTATCCGACTGCCTTGATATGGTCGTTGTTGGGTTTCAAAAGCTCTGAGTGAGCGACCACAGTAGCTGAGTGAATATGCAAGAGCAAGCTGCGATACAAAGAGCCATGTTTTCGGTTCGTGGCCACATTCCAAGAACCACAGTTATAGAAAATTAATTTTAAAATACTTTTTTTTTGGATTTTGTAAAGTCAATTTTTAACGCAAATTTAGATAGAATTTGAATGAGACCAGTCTAAATATGAATTGTGAAAACCAAATTTTTTTTTCCAAAAATAAATAAAAGTTTTTTGTTCATATGTTTCCCCTTAGTGGATTTTTGAAGAAACGAAAGAGTTTCCATCACCAAACAATAAAAACATTAAGATTTTTTGCTTTAACTGGCAATATAAAAGGTATGTTAAAAAATCCGAAATTATCCCATTTTTTTTCTATAGATAAAATATTCGAGGGTATGAACTTTAAAACACAAATATTTAAGGATCAGTTTGGTATACTAATGGTCAACGTGAGATCAAGTCTTTGCATTTTATTACTACCGAGCTCGTTAGAAATGTTCAAACGGACTAGAAGAAAATGTGGAAGCTCTTTGTTTGCTCGGTATTTTTGGAAATTAAAATCTTGTCAAGAAAGTATTAAAAATGTTTCAATAAAATTAAAAAAAAAGTACTTAATATTAAGATTTTTCACAGAAATTTAATCTCTCAAAGTTCAACTAATTTTTTAGTTAAATTTAAATCGAGTAAAACAGCGTAAACTGCAATAAAAAGTTTGAAACTTTATTAATTTTCACCTTTATACGCACAAGTGTAAATTGCTATTACAGCATTTAACGCTTACCAGGATTGTGTTGCCTTAAGAGCTGCAAACAAGTTAGCCATTGAAGAGAACATGAAAGGAAGAAATAAAAAAAAAAAACAAAAACACGAAATTAGTTTTTTTATTTATAATAAAAATGCATTATATTAGGTCATTATAAACACAATGTACACACACATACTTACATACATACACACAGATATGTATTATATTAATAAATATTCAGCTGACCCTTTTTTCATTCCATTGCACACAACAAATTGTATGCGGAGTTTCATATGTATATGTGCGCTTGTATGTATGTGTGTGCGTTGCATGAATTATGCTTATGTTGTGTCGAGCTCTCACCTTTGTAGCCTTAAATTCCAAGCTTAAATTCGCCTCTACATGCGCTGTGGTGAGACCGTTAAACAACACGCCCAACAACGGTAGCAATATCAGCATTTTCCTGCAAATAAAAACAAAATTTGAAAAAATTTAATTGAAGTGTAGAAAAAATTGGAGTCATTACACAAATACATAACTGTTTATTATGTCTACTAAAAAAGCGGACTTTTTTTGCATTTACGCTTACTCGCTGTATGGCCAACGCTTGCGTAGCAAAAAGCAGGTATATCATTTGATTGCAGCCACTGTAGCCGTTATGTGTCAGTGTGGTATTAAAAGGGTCAAGCCAATGTTTTGTTGTTGTTGGCTGTCGCTCGTAAAGCATAATTTGTTTCTTTTAAGTATTTTTTTTTTTTTTTTATAAAATGCTACGCTTGTTGGGTGCGAAAAAGTAAAATACATTTTTTCAATGACTCCTTTTGTGGGAAACTACCGCAGTTACTGTTATTTATATTTAAATTTATGTTTTAAATTGAGGCAACTTTAGTTTGTGTTTCACTTTTTTATTTATATTTTCAATGCATTTATGCAATTAGTCTTAGAAGCCGAGATGCTTTGCCGTCAAGCCAGATTATTCGCTTACCTCGGTCACATTAAGGTGTAATATTTTGAGCTTTCGAATACCTGTTTAGGCTAAAATCAAATCTACAGAGCTATCCGATTTGAGGTTTCGAGGTTAAACGAAAATAAATACACATTGAATAAACCTTAACATCGAAATTGAAGCACTACATAAATCACAAATTTTTGCATATATCGATCCATTTGAGGTCATTTTCGATCTCTCTTGGGTACATTTTGGGCAGCGTCCCAGCCATAACTTCACGAATCTTAGGTTTCAAGAGCTCCACAACAACAGGCCAACGGTGTCCAATTGTACGAACTCGGTGGCCAATTGTCAACGTCAAGGAGAGATGGCGTTGCTAATGGCCAGCTGGCTACAGATCCCGGATGGGTCGGTTTTTTTGCGGATGCAACAAAGTCCCAGCTCTTGGAAAGGTCGAGAAATAGACACACTCGGGCCTTCTGTAGTGGATGGAGCAAAACGATAATGCACAGGTCTTTTAATATTTATAACCTGATCGATGTACTCAAATTTCTTTAAAATTTTAACAATTGCCTAACACGATTATGTGCTCCAAAACCTTCTCTTAAAGCACTGAGCTTGGCCTTTTTGGAATCCCCAGTTTTGTAATAGGTTTAACAATTTTAACACCTTGTGTGGTTGCTGGCGATCCAGTATCATAAATTCCTGAATTTTGAATGAATCAAAACGTGTTTGGTTTGATAGTCAACTTCGACGGATGCCCAATTATTATTATTATTTATAAATATATTTACATATATATACAAAAGTATATATTTGGCGTTTTCAAACTGCTGAAACGGCTTTCGACAGAGCTCTTCCTCCGATTTGTGGTTTTGCGTCTTGATGTTTTTCCTACAAATGGAGGGATCTACGGTTTATACTAAGCCGCCTCCGAACGGCTGATGGTATTTTTTTACGAATAACCTTTATTTCATATGTGAAATACACTCGGAGGGGCGGACATTATCTGCCGAGGGGCGGCTCCATTTATACAATTTTATTTAATTTTTTATCTAAATTAATATTTCATTACTTTTGGATGTTGGTGGCACCGGGATAGGAGCCCGAGCCTTCCGAATGTCAGTACGCAATGCCTCCAAAGCCAATGCTCGGCTGCTGCGGCCGCTATACATTACTAAATAGTAATATTTTTCTTTTCATCTTCCAAACAGATACATACATACATTAAATTTTCGAACCTTTCAGACGCACAATTAGCAAAGTGATTGGCTTGGACGTAAATGCAATTACTGCTTTTACCTCACATTTAATTATGAGCCAAAGGGAATGTGTTTTACCTCTTCCCCTCCTCGCTCGATTTCTCGCTCTCCTCTTTTTTACGCGCACTCTCTACGTACCGCGCCTCAACAATAACGGTTCAATTAATTTATATTTTATACTTTTTCCCTACGTCATTGTTCGTTTGCCCATGAAACGTTAAATAAAAATCCCATATTAAATTCCTTTTCCGCTTATTTTTTTCCAAGCAATTAAATAAATGAAAAAAAAATGTATTTTTATGAAATTACACAAATAACGATGCAGAGTGAATTTTTACAGATTTTTCGGTTTTCATACTTAAATAAACATAGACAATAAATATTCTGTGCAGTCAAAAAGAAGAGCAGGAGGTTACGGAGAGAGCGGCATGTATTGAGGAAGAGCCGCAGCCACAACGCATTTTTATATTGGGAAATATTAAGTGAAAAAGACTTAGGGCAACGCACGAAAGCAGTCTCTGCACTCTTCTTCTGCTTTTTATGCCTTTAATGCCTTTTCGGTTTTCACGCCTGCTTGGCTTTCTGCTTCCGCTTTTGAAATTTACTTTTTTGCTACATTTTTCACTTCTTCCTTTACATATCGCTGGCTGGCGTACAATCTGCCAACAACTAACTTGCAACAGTCGCTTTAGCTGTCTGCTGGCCAATAAATGTTTCATCGTCAACGCGAGTTCAAATAAAAAGCAACAACATAAAATCCCCTTAATAAAACTGAGTGAGAAAGGGCAATGTCAGTCTAAAAGGGTATGCCCGTCAACAGACGCTCCATGAAAGGGTACATTTTTATGGTGCTGGACAAAGTGCGCTGAAGCATTTTAGTGCTTTTGTTGCAACTGTCAAAGAATATCATAATAAGCGATATTCTGCGTTTTGTTACTCCTACGAGGGCGCTTGTCTGGCTTTTCTTTTATATATAAGATTTTCATTTTAGTCTTGGTTTTCTTATTTTCTTGACATTTTTTCGTAAAATACGCTTTTAGTTGGGCATTTAGTGGATAGTCAATTAAAGCGGAAAAGAAATTTGACAAATCAAAATTAAGGAAAAAATTCAAAATTGAAGTGAAGTAATCAAACCGACATTTGTCTTTAATTTTGACCATGGCGTTTGCACATTCATGTCCAGCCAAATTAGAAGAAAATTTCTATAAAATGTAAGCATTGCGCTCAAACGTTAGGGACTCAAGTAACTGCGATAAATCAGTTGAAACCTTAATCGGACACACGAAAGGACCAACAGACACAACATTTCACAGGTTTTTAAATCATGATGTGTGTTAATGCAGTGTTGAATAATGTGGGCCAATGGGCTGCATATAAACAGCATAACTAACCTTATAAATTGAATGGGTTAACCAACCTCACTGACGGCAAAAGATTAAGCTTTGCGTATGCATCAAACCACAAATTAGTCGAAAATCCAACGGCCGCAGGCTACATTAAGCACGACATTTTCTTGAACAAAATATTCTTTAGTGACGAGACACATTTCCAACTCGTGTGATGCGTAAATAAGCTGGTGAGACTACCGCTCTCACTTCGGAGCGTTATGCTCGTATGATAACCGAGTCTTTTTGGCACGCAATTGACGAGCACCAAATGGGCAATACGTGGTTTTAACAAGATGTGGTGCCACGTTCGCCACAATACGAGCGAATATGGCTTTATTGCGAGAGAAATCGGTCACCTAGATGGACACCCTTTGACCTTTTTGTGGAACTACGCGAAAGACTGTATTTTTGTGGATAAACCTTAAACTCTTGAGCACCTTAAAACTAAAATTCGGCAAGCTATGTCGGAGGCACCGCCAATTATGTGCCAAAACGTGGTTCAAAAATATGTAAAACGGTTCCAAGTTTAAAAAATTCGGGAGGTGGTCATTTGAATTTTATAGTTTTTCACATTAAATGATAAGGTTCAAGCTTTAAAATATAAAGTTGATTTTATGAAAAAACTTACAAAGACAAATTTTTAGTCGGTCAAATATTAATAGAATTTTTTTTAAGTTACAACAAATAAAAAATATAGGAATGAAAGAATTAATTCAATACATGATTTTAGGGCATAACAATTTCATTTGATTTGGCGTAGATTTTTAGAAATATTTTTCAAAAATTTACAAATGTTTAAAAAACTTCTTTGAAATTTTTTCTTTTAAAATATTTTTTTTACCATATAAAAAAAATTTACATTATTTCTTTTGTAAAATAATTTTTATTGCCCAACTAATTAAAAATAAGAATCACTTTAAATACTTTTAATTCACTTTTTCTTATATTTAGCATTAAAATTATAGAAGTTTGTTTGTATTGAATTAAAATTTATATAAAAACGTGTGTTGTTCAAGAAGTTCCCAAGGGTTTGAAAATAAGTGATGTCATTAACGGTTTAAGCACATGTGAGAGCATTTTTCATCAACAGGCAATGCGGAACTAACGTAAGTAAATATTAAAATGCACGAATATATACAAATGTAAAATCACACATATACATACATACACGCACATGGACAAATTTTCATAAATAATTACACTCGGTTAACAAAGTATTTAAAAAATAATTACATGAATTGAATGAGGCCAACAAACAGTCGACGAACACCCGCACATACACACTCAAGTAATCATATACTCATATAAGTATGTATATATATATAAACAAGTAATCCACAAACACAGTTACAAGTGCACTTAAATTACACCAGCACCTGCAACCGTAAAATGCAGTAGTAAATGTCATTAACTGCAAAAGGAAAAAAGAAAAAAAAATACATTTAACTAAAAAATTAACGGTATAATATGTCAGTATGTTGACACAAATTACCGCAATTACAGCGTTAATACATGCAGACATATAAAGAGTAATAAATATTTCAACTCGTTGCGTGCAACTGGAGGGCTTTACGCTATGCCACTTTCTCTCCTACATACCATATTTATGCATGACACACATACAAGTACATTTGTGAGGATCATAATAGGTTTGCTGGCAAATTGTCTGAGGTAATCAACTGTAACTGTAAGTTCTTATAACTTGATGAGCTGATGATACAGCTGTTCAGCTTTGAAGAGTTTGATGGCATGTAATTTTGCTATTATACGCAATTGATAAATGGAGCTTAATGTTAAGAGCTGGAGGCATATATGTATGCACATGTATTTATAAAGTATTCAGCAAGAGTATAAAAATGCCAAA